AATCGAGCTCACTACATGTTTTTTTCCAAGAAAATCATTGTAACAAATAAGCGTGCTATTCACGTGTAAGCAAGCACATTGCTCGCAATTGACGGCATCGATTCCTCGGCTGCTCTGACGAATTCGAAGAATTCTCGCCGATAAGAGGGACTGACTATGACTTCATCGTTAACAACAGAAGAGTTTTCATTGAGGAGCTCAGTACGGTAATAGATTAGGCCTAAAGCATGGATATCCAAAGGAATTCCTTAGCGATTTTTTCTTAATTAACCAATTAAAAAAGGCTTGAAAGATTTGTAGCAAGTCCAGGTTTCTTGAAATGCCAAGGAATAATTTGTTCTACAAAATACTGGTGTGTTTTCAATTATTTTAGTTACGCTTCTGCATATTTTGAGCAAAATGATCTACTGAAAACATCTGTTTTATTCAAAGAGTTTCTTAATTGCCTTGTAGAATTTTTCCTACTTTATTTTTGTTAAAATTAATAATTCAATTCCTTTTTTACATTGTTTAAAAATGTTAAATTATCCGGATCAGGAGAACTCACATTTTGGTAATCACTTGTATAAAGTAAACGGAAAATTTTATTAGGTCGTTAAAAAGTTTTCAGAATTTTCTTTGCACATTCTTTCACCCATAATTTTTGTTGTTGTTGGCCAAGCGATGTGTATACTTTGAAAGCCTTTTTCTAATTCTAAAAATTACTTATCGTTTCTTATGTTTTTGATGCTCTAACCTTCGGGGGATAAAATATTTGATGAAGTCTTAGGCGTCTTGATTTTCATTAACTTTTCCTATGCTCGTTCAAACTTTTTTCACTTATGACCAATTTGCAATCATACATAGGCATGGTGTAACCTTCGATAAGAAGATACTTCTAAGAAGTGATTGAACAAGATCGATTTTTATTTTAAAATAACGGGAGGAGGCTTTGAGAAATAATCCAATGTGCATGTTAGTTCTAGCGTTTCCATTTTCAAAAACAAATCCTTCCATATAAATGCAAAAATCGCGATGAGTCGCGAAAACCTGGATGACGAAATCGGTTTGTCGGCTTATATTTCATTAATCACCGGGAAAACTAGTAATGAGATTTTTTAGAACAGAAGAAGACTTCCAGACTATAAACATCACTAAAACATATAGTCGATGCAGGAGAAAGTGGGTCACAGAATTTATATAGCGATTAAAAATTATGAAATCCAAACTTAGAATGGAAAAATAGGTTTTCATCGTTCATCAAGGATACAAGGTTACTATTTTTTCCTTACTCCTACGTACATGCAAAATGACACGCTAAGCGTAGATTGTTGACACTCTTAATCTGTTTTTCGCCTTCCACGATCTTTTTTTTTTG